TTTTGTTTTTATTTAGTTGTCTTTTTCACTTATAGTTGATCCAGAGGTTTGATCTTAAGGTGAAGCAAGGTGCTTGATAGTTGTTGCTGAAGTAGCTGAATATTGGTATTTGCTTTTTTTTTGCCCGCTTTTACTTTCTTGGTTATTGGCTTTTGTCTTTTCTTTTGGTTAGGTTAAACTTGGGCGGCTAATTATAAAACCATGTCTTTTGCTGATAGTTTTTGGACTCAGGATTATAATCTGGGGTTTAAGGTGTTATTTGAAGAGCTATATCAAGGAGCGAATGAAAATGAGGACTTTATTAGTTTGTTCAATAAGAGAATGGAGATTGAATTGATTTATGGGAATCAATTGGTTTTAATTAAGGATTCTAAATCAGTATCTTCAAGATATACCAATGATGACTATATATCATCGGTTAAGAATGCTTATTTCAAGATCAATGAGAATTTCAACAAACAAGGAGAATACCATTTACAAGTGGCTAATAATATCAAAGTATTAGTGTTAGAACCATTCACCAAATGGAGTAAAGAGCATAAACAGAGGATTGATTACTCAAATCAAGTTATACAAGATCATTATAAGGTTTTCAAGAATGCAAAAATCCATTTGGACAGATTGCAAAAAAAATATTTCAATAAATGTAGAATGTTGGAAGAATTTAAATCACATTACACCGATGAAGAATTATCAAGTGATTTGAATGATTTACAACTTGATTCTAAAATAGAGAAGGTGGAAGAAGATCATGGCGCTGAAGAAAATGAAGAAGAAGAAGAAAACGATACAACCTATACTTTTGGTAATGCAGTTTTCGATTATAAAACATTGAAAAAAATGTTGACTGATATTTTAACTAATATTGAGTTAATTGATCATAAAGTTCCTATCTTAGGTACTTATAATAATGTTAGTACTGGTAGTAATATTACTCAATGGTTGTTGGATAATATCCCTGAATTCAATGGTAATATTGCTAAAGCTGAAAGTTTTGGTCAAGATTTAATTAATAATGGTTTCATTAGATTAATTGGTTCAATGAGTGGAGGTAAAAATTTCATTAATTCATCTCAATTTTACTACCAATGGAAACCTTTAGTTTTCCAAATTACTAAATTAAGTGATTCCAAAATAATAAATAATGATTCAAATGGATTATCAAGAAATAACTCAATTAATTTAAAATCTTCAAATAATTTCGCTGATTATTTTGAAGATATGAAACAAGCAATTGGAGTAAATTCAATCGATTATAATGATAAAGCACAATTACTGAAAATTATTCAAGATGTTAATCAATTAGATCATCAATATTATCAATCAATTTTAGAATTAGATAATTTAAGATGTAAATTTGAAGAGTTAATCATGGATCATTTAACTTTTATGCAAAAATGTGAATTAGATAGATTAAAAGCAATTAAAAAAGTTACTTTTGATTTCTTAGCAAGTTTTTCAAATAAAATTAATTCAATGAAACATTTATGTGATGAATTATTAATCTTGGAAGAAACAATAAATCCAGTTAATGATTTAAAATTTTTAATTGAAAATTACTCAACTGGGTTTTTCAAACCTCATGTTATTTTATATGATAATTATTATAATTCGAATATTAAACAAACTTTTGGTGTTTCTTTAAATGTTAAATCAAGATTAGATCATAAAGTTGTTCCAATTATTATTCAATGTATCTTATCTCATCTAGATAATATTTATCCCGACATTATCAATGATGAAGAAAGAATTAATTTATGGACAAAACCAATTCATCTTTCAAATGTTCATCAATTAAGATTTCAATTAAATGATGTTAATGATCCAAATAAAATTAATGAAATTTTGAAAACAAATCATCCTTTAACTGTTACAAATGTTTTAAAATTATACTTTATGGAATTACCAGATGCCATAATTCCCCATAATTATTATGATTTAATTAAATCTCTATATCAAAATTATCCAATTAATTCAAATGATTCTAAAATTGACGATTCAAGAATTAATGGTTTACAAAATGTTTTGGTTGATTTACCAAAATCAAACTTAGCTACTTTAGATGCTTTATTAACTCATTTAAATCGTTTGGTTAATATAATTGGTTCTAAAGATGAATCTTTGTCAAATGATTTTAAGAAAAAACTTTCAAAAGAATTTGGTAATATAATTTTAAGACCAAGAATGGATAATAATAATCTTTATAATTCAAGTGATTTGGGACAAGTATCAAATAATAATCTAAATGGTTTTATTAATGAACAACATCAAATTCTGTTTATTAATGATTTATTCAACCATAAGGAGGTCATATTCAAAGAATTAAGAAGAAGAAATTCCACAAGAGTTGATGGATTAAGTAACTCTTCCTCTTTGAAAAATTCATCTAAAAATGCTAGTTTGAAAAAGAAAAATGCTTCCCCTAATAATCAATCAAGATTAGAAGCTAAAATGAAAAAAGCAGTAAACAAATCAAAAATCTCTCCAAAATCAAATAACAGTGAATCTTCTACTAGCGCTTCGAATTCGATTCCAAATTCAATTTCTCCAGGAACAAGTCGTGGTCGTCAACTAAATGATGATCCAGTTGATGATGATGATGAAATTTTGGTTGCTGATGATGATAATAATATGGCTACTGCTAATGAAATTTTTAATAGATCCCCTTTAATGAAAGAAACCTTGGCTGAAGCTGTTTCAACTCATTCAACGCCTACCATCAAAAGAACCGGTTCAACAGTTTTACCAGAACCCCCTGCAACTCCACCTCCTCATTCACCTACTAAAAAAGCATCTGCTCCCGGCTCTTTGAAAAGAGGTCAATCTCCAAATAAAAAAAAAACTAATTCAAGTCTAAGTGAAGTTTCAAATAATAAACAAGTTAAATCCGCATCAAGTAGTATCGTTTCTTCTAGACCTTTGAAAAGAGACATAATTTATAATCATGGTAATAATTCAGAGTATTCTTCACCAAATGGATCTTCAACAGATGTTTCTCAGCCAAAATTCGCTTCTAGTATTGGAAGAAAAACTTCTGTGAAAGATATGGCATCCAGATTTGATTCCCCATCACCTCCATCTGTCCCAGCAAAAGACAATCAAAAACCTAAAAATAATGGGAAATCTGGAGATGATGCGATTGTGGTCGAGTAAACTTGACTCTACCTTTAAATTTTAAACTTTTGTTCACGCTTGTTTTTACTCTTGTCCTTATCATGACGTTCTACAGTTATAACCATAAAATAATGCTATAACCATACATTATCATAATTACTTTTATCATAATATACGAGAAACAAAAAATCAAAAAAAAAAAAAAAATTATCAAACTTGAAAATTTTCAAATTTCAAATTTCAAATAAACACGAATCAATAGGCTTAATTATTGACATGTAAATAGCATTTCATCGTATATCGGAATTATTAACCCATTTGTAATCAAACTTCTCCAATTGGCCTATACTCGGAACTTTCGTTTGTTGATTTGACGCAGAGCGCAATCATCTCTATTATTTCATTCGGAGCCTTATGTAGGATGCCGGGTCGAGACTCGGGTCCCCTTTGAGGTGCATTTGCGGCAGTATATAAATTGCTGGGGAAAATACGTCAAAATATTTCATTTCAACTTAATTGACAGCACTTTTCGAAGAATGTTTAAGTTATCGAGCAGGTTAGGTCGAAACTGGGTTAAAAATAACAAGGTAAAGCAGTTTTCTGCCGGTGCTGCAAAGAAGTATTCCTCTAGAGCAGGCTCGGACATACAAGAGTCTTTCAAGACCAAAAAAGGGTTGTGGTTAGGAATTGGTTGTTCATTACTTGCAGCAGGGGTATTTGCTTCTTCAAAAAACTTTATTCATTTGGACACTGAAATCAAAGAAGCTAAGGAGGGAGTTCCAGTAGAAGAAGTTGAAAAGCATGCGAATAATAAGAATGGAGAAGTTTGGGTTGTGATTAATGATAAGGTTTATGACTTGAGTGAGTTTTTGAAAGCTCATCCTGGTGGTCCGCAGATAATCAAGAAATACGCTGGTAAAAACGCTAGTGAAATCTTCAATAAGTATCATCCTCCGGATGTTATTGAGAAAATGCTACCACCATCAAAATATCTAGGACCTTTACATGGTGAAATGGAGGTTGCTCCAGACATAACATCAGTAGATGATGAAGAATTAAGGAATTACAAAATTCAAAATAAGCCTGCTTTATCAAGAATTTATAATATTTCCGACTTTGAATACGTAGCCAAACAAGTTATACCAACCAATGCCTGGGTTTACTATAATGGGGGATCAGATGATGAGATTACCTTAAGAGAAAATCATTATGCATACGGTAGAATTTATTTCAAACCAAAAGTTTTGGTTGATGTTAATGATGTTGATATTTCAACAGAAATGTTAGGGGTCAAAACTTCCGGGCCCTTCTACTGTAGTGGTGCTGCTCAAGCCAAGTTGGGCCATGAGGAAGGGGAATTAAGTATAGCAAGAGGCTGTGGCCGTGAAAATATCATCCAAATGATTTCGAGTGCTGCTTCTTATCCCTTGGGTGATATCATTGACGCCGCTTTAAAAGGTCAAAAACAATGGTTTCAATTATATGTTACCGAGAATAGACAAGCTTCATTTGATACTATCAAATATTGCGAAGAAAAAGGCATTGGTGCTATTTTTGTGACTGTTGATACTCCTCAACTAGGTAGAAGGGAAAAAGATTTGAGAATAAGATTTGCAACCGATGATGATGAAGAAGAAGAAGAAGAAGAATTCATGTCCTCATCTGAACTCGGCGAAAAAGATCCCATTTACTATAAAGATGCTAGTTTAACTTGGAAAGATATTGACGACTTCAAACAATCTACAAAATTACCTATTGTATTAAAAGGAGTTCAAAGAGTTGAAGATGTCTTAATCGCTATTGAACATGGTGTGGATGCAGTAGTTCTTTCGAACCATGGTGGTAGACAATTAGATTACTCGAGGGCACCAGTAGAAGTATTATCAGAGCTCATGCCAGTTTTGAAAGAAAAGCAGCTTGATAATAAAATAGAAGTTTATATAGATGGTGGTATTAGAAGAGGTACAGACGTCCTTAAGGCATTATGTTTGGGTGCGAAAGGTGTCGGCTTAGGTAGACCATTTTTATACGCTAATTCTGCTTATGGAGAAAAAGGTGTTGTTAGAGCTATTCAATTATTGAAAGAAGAATTGATTTGTGATATGAAGCTTTTAGGTGCTAATAAAATATCAGACCTCACCCCTGATTTGCTTGATACTAAAAGTTTACATATTAAACAAGCTCATAGAGATTTATTATATGATAATGCGTATGATCCTTTGACTCCTCCTCGCTTCAAAGACGAACCTTTAAATTAGTCAATCAATTTATCTATTCTTATCTTATCTTAACCTAGATTAAACAATTTATTTAACTAAGTATACTAATATACAAATGTTCAAGACAAAATATTCTATAAAACTCTTTTGAAGATGAAGTAATTTGATTAAAAGTTCACCACATTACCGCCGGAAACTAAGATCTGTTGGTCAAAATCATTTTCGGGTTCATTTTCAGCTCTTTTCCATGATTTTATATCACCATTATTGGTATCAATTTCAAAAGTTCTCATTCTTCTTATGTATCCACCATATCCACCGTATCCACCTAAACCAGAACCACCACCGTAACAAAGCCACATTTTATTCTCATTCGAAGATTCCTTATTTTCAACATCTTGTAAACAGTAGTCATTACAGTGATCATGACCAGTACTGATAACACTCACCCCGATTCTACCAAATATTGATCTTGCACCGGTATTATACCTTGGCGCAGTAATACCTTCACGTTGTTCACCAATGTATGGTTGATCAAGTTTTCTAAATTCAGGTAAAGGAATGTGGAAGAAGCCCATTGATAAGTGGATATGGGAATAAGAGCTGATATCTTTTTTCAAACTGTTATGCAGTTGTTCAAGCCATTTCAATTGTGATTCTTTCAACCAATCGTAGCCTGGAGTAACTTTCGGGTTTTGAGAATAACTATGACTATCGAGGAAATATAAAGATAATGCAGGGTTTTTAGATTTTGGACCTTGAACGGTCAAAACATAATTTCCGACACCGGCAACTTCTTCAGGTCCTAAACTTGCAAAAGAAAATGGTAAATTTGATGATAGACTCATGACTTCAGCCCTGATCAAAGACCCTTCATCGTCATGGTTACCTAAAGTGACTGCGAAAGGGATCTTTCTTTTGATGAAAGGGTTTAAAGCCTTGAAAATAGAAGTCTCAGCATCAGGGGAGGCTTGACCAAAGATTTGATCACCAGTCAAGACAACAAGATCGGGTTTCTCTATATCCAAAACTTTTTCGAGAAATTCCAAGGTTCTTGGATCAGCTTTACAACCTTTTTTAGATTCTGCTGGAACCGGGTCAAGGCATTTACCAACACCAGTAGAAAAATGTAAGTCAGCAACTTGTAAGATTTTAAACTTTCCATCAGGATTAATTTTAAGAGTGGGTTGATATTCCTTCTTTTTATAGTCAATTCTGGGACCTTTTCTTACGGTTACATATGCCTCTAAACCGGAGACACCACCAATGTCAAGTATAGGAGTTTTAATGAGTTTCCAATTTGGTCTGGGCTCTACACAGTCATCCCCGAATAATATATCAAACCCGGTTATAACGTTTTTATTAGAGCTCAGACCATATTTTACCCAAATACCATTTGACTTATAATACCAGCCTTTTTCATTCAATTGCTCTTTGGTGGGGATAGTGTACAGAATATCCAAATCAAATCTACTAGATTCCATTTTTCTTTTCTCTTTCTTATCATTTGCTTTTCCAGAATCATTTTCTGCACCTTCTGCTTCTTTATATTCGACAACTTCTTCGTTTTTAGGAGGAACATTTTTCGACACTTCTTCTTCAAAATCAGCAGAAACATCTCCTTCTTGTTTTTGAGGAGGTGTATTTGCTTTATCTGCTTTTTCTTGAGATTCTTTGATGTTTTTGGATTTTTCTTCTTCTTTTTGTTCTTGTTCTAATTTTATATTAAGTTCATTAATTTTCTTACTAGCTGATTTATCTTTATCCACGGTCAAAGCTTCAGTTTTTTCTCCCTTTTGTTTCATAGCCTGAGCTGCAACTAAAGATTCGTGATCATTATCATTGAAGACTCTATTTGAATGAAAGTCTTTTAAAACAGCTTCAGGGATCTGCAATTTTTCATTACCCTCAAATTTAGAATCTTTTAAAGGATTAGATATAGCGATATCAACTAAAACGCGATGATCACCATTGTCTGATTTTGTATTTTTAATTGCAGCCCTCTTTGATTTTTCTTCAGAGGCTAATTCCGATTCAGGTTTCTGTATTCTACCTCTTAAAGCCTCATTTTTGACCTTTTTATAAGAGAAGAACTTTCTTTTAACCCATGAGTTATCCATCATCAAATCTTTATCAATTTTAACCCACCCGCCGGATTGGTAAAGGTTACCTAATGCACCATGATTATCATCGGGAACTCCACATTTTTCGCTTTTCCCACCAAGTTTCATACAGTTCCCAATTGAAATATCTACTATATAAATATCTGAAGCCGGTTGGAAAAAGGAAGGGGTAAAATTGACGGGTAAATAATCATCTAAGTATATAACATTTTGTTTATTGGCGATCAAAATCAAGATAATCGACATAACCGTGAAAAGACCCAAGTAGCTGAGCTGGCGCACATACATTCTAGGTAGGCCAACCATCTTGAAGGATTATCTATGCTTTCAATATCTTGGGATCTAGACGAAGAATTACCAATTTACCATAGTATTAATTCGATGTCAATAAATTTTTTTTTCGATTTTTCTCAATCGGAGAAACTCCCGTACATCCAGGTACATTGCAACAACTTACCGATATAACAGTCTACAACAACTAACAGTCTACAACTAGTAGTCTACAACAACTAATTGAATATAATAGATAAATTGAAAAAGCATAAAAGAAAAGATTTTGAAGAACCGAAACTTGAACACGATCTTTTAGTTGAGCATGTATACTAATCTACTTCCCGAATTAGGTCTATAAATCCTGGGGAAGAACTGCCAATTGCAAATTTATTCATTTTTTTTAGCAGCTCTTTCAGCAGCCAACTTTTCCTCTCTCTCCTTAGCAGCCGGCTCAATATCAGGAAAACTGGAAGCATCTACCTTTGGTTTATGATGTTCTGGGTTGATAAGAACGGTATGCGGCTTATTGATTTTACTGAATGGAACAGTTTTACCACCAATGTTAACCATCATGTTATCAGGATTGAACAATTCCTTATCCTTCTCCTCTTGAGTTTGCGGTTGTTTGCTTTGATCAGACATATTGAATCACTTCAGTATAAATAAATTGTTTTAAACGTTTTTTTGTAAATGGAATTGCCCCTGTACTTATATAATTCCTTCTTGCTGGACATGTGACTGATTATGCGAGTCATTAATTTTTTTTTTTTTTTTTTGGTGCTAGGTGTACGCTTTAGACTGAAGGTAAGTCACTAACTTCTAGACTTCTTGCTATTTACATACATTGAGAGATGTCTTACGGCATGTAAGACTGTTGTGAACCCGTTGTATACTGTATTGGAAACGGGACCAAATCTTGATCTATTTTTTCAAAATTTTTTCACTGATCGCGCAAAATGTTGCAATCCTTACATTGGTATAAACAGAAGAATTAAATAATATTGGTACGTAGAAGTGTTAAGGATATCAGCTACTAGGAGCCTGGTATCCGACGTTACCTGGAGTGTCAGGAGACCCAGGCATACCATTGGCTACCCCACCAGTGCTGGAGTTTAAGCCGACTTCGGGCATGAATTGAGTACTTAAACTCATGGCGTAGATAGTAATGAACATTACTATACAATGCAAACCAAAGCAATAAGCCATGAATAACATTCTTGTAGTTCTTGTTGCTAGAATTGCTCTGGTGAGAGAAATAAATAATCTTTCTATTGGAGATAATCTAGAATTGATTCTTTCTCGCTCTCTTTTTCTGAATTGTTCAATTGGATGTAATTTTGATTCATAATTATCTTGATATTCAGTATTACTTTCGAGATCAACATTATTAGAGGGAGATGGATCTAGTAATTTTCGATTCGAGGTTCTAGAACTAAAAGATTGAGATGCAACTGGAGTGAATAAATTAGAATTATTATTATTATTTTTAAAAGAAGCTAAGTATCTAGTTCTTTCATATAATTCTTCGTTATCTTTCTTTAATGAATTCATCTGTCTTTTTAAGTCACTTATTACTCCATATTGTTTTCTAACTTCATCTTCTAATTCATTATTTTTATCTCTAAATCTATCTCTTTGTTTAGTGATAATCGGTAAAATAGACGATTCTTCACCTCCAATATTTGGTAAGCTACCTTCTCTACCAAATGGACGAGTCATTCTACTAACTCCAGATACTAAACTCATGTTATCATTAAATTTATTATTAGATGCATCTTGTAAATCACTTAAATCATTTTCTAACTTATTATTAAGTTGATAAGCTTTTGTTAATTCTTCTTTAGTTTTGATTAAGTCTTCATCTAATGCGGTTATTCTTTTATTGAGATCTTCGTGTTGTGATCTGTAATCTGCTAATTCTTGTGTTAAATTTTTATTTCTTTCAATTAATAATGAATCGATTTGTTTATATTCACCGTTTTCAATTACTTCTTCATCATCTTGACCAAATTCAATTTGTCTCATGAGATGTAATTCATGTTTAATTTCTTCATAATCATTAGTTTGATCTATTCTTACTTTAAGATTTTTAACTTCTAAAGTTAATTGGGAAATTTCCCGATTAAAAATATGAATTTTAGAATCATTTTCTTTAGAAATAAGTTCAAGTTTATTTTTAGTTTGATTTAGATCGGCAACTAACAATGCATTTTCTCCTTCCAATTCAGAAATTTTTTTAGTTAATTCTTCTCTTAATTGTTTTCTTTCTGCATCATTTTGAGATCTTGATAATTCACTTCTTAATGATTCATTTCTTTTTTCTAATTCAATTACTCTTTTCTTAGCTGATTCTGCATCCCTTGAAACAATTTCTAATTCTGCTAATGCTGATGCTGATATATTAGAATTATTATCACCAATTTGTTTATTTTGAGAATTTAATTGTAATTCAGTAACTTCTTTTGATGTTCTTAATTCTTCAATCTTATTTTTATATTCATTTAATTGAGATTCAAAATTGGATTCTTTATTTGCCCAGTTAGATTCTTTTTCATCAATTATAGCTTTTAATTCTTCTTCCTTTGATTGTAATTTTGAACTTAATAATTCTGCTGATTTTTGTTCATTTCTTAATAATCTTTGTTTTAATTGATCATAATCAGCTTTTTTAGAAAGCTCCTCATTCAATTTAGCAATTTCCTTTTTGAAATTATTTGTTTCAGATGAATCAACAACAGCATCTAATGATAATTCTAATAAAGGTCTTGGATCAGGAGCTTCAGCAATTAATCTATAAAAACCGAAAAAATAGTTTTCAACCTTCTTCTGCTTATTAGTTAATGAATCAATTTCATTCTGATATAACTTTAACAAACTTTTCATATCCTGTAATTTAACATCATCCGGTAATTTCTTAAATTCTTTGGTCTTTGCTGCTAAATTCTTTCTACTTAGTAAAGAAGTTTTCTGTTCATCTTTCAATTCTATACCTTGGTCATCGAGTTTCTTCTGTAAGCTTGCTAAATCAATTTCTGTCCAGGTTTGTAATGCATTTTGAAATAAATTCGATGATTTACTCTTTGTCTTTGGAGACTCAGTCGAATTTTGAGTCAAACTTGCTGAAACCGGGGTTCCCAGTCTAACTGCTTGGGTATCCTCACCTTCGGCCATTATTGAAATTAGGTCAATTAATACAGAAAGACTATACCGAACTTCCCACTGTGAAACAAATAGTCAACGATAAGTTTTCCCTTGACATCAGCTATATTTGTTCTTTATTTCAGTTTCGAGATTCAGTTCCGTACACCACATAGTATTTTCCAAAAATAACAAATTTGGATATTTGAAAACCTACAATTCAAAATACTCAATAGGATTAACACCCAATGGGATTATACGGGTTAATATTAATTTAAAAAGATACATGCATCAAAAGATATATATTAGGTTTTTTTATATTTTTAAAGTTAGATATAGAGAAGATATATTGACATTACAACGTAACCCACAATTTTCCAATAAAATACATCCAAATAGATTAAATGAAAGTTTCGTAAGGAACTGGGGCTAAAGTTTGTGGAACATTACCTTCAGTAGAAATAACTCTAGCTTCTCTTGGTTTAGCTGGTTGTCTTTTTAAGTAAACTTGTTCACCTTTAGCTTTAGCTTCTCTCTTTAAAGCAGCGTTAGTTTTAACTCTGTTTAAGAATTCTTGACGACAAGCAGAGTGTTTAACGTGTTCAATTCTTAAGTTAACTCTTTTTTCAATGTATCTGTTACCGACAACTTTGTTAATGATAACACCGACGGAAGATTTGGTAATGTTGTAAACGATACCAGTTTTACCGTGGTAGTATTTGTGAGGCATACCCTTTTGGACAGCACCATTAGCTTTAATATCAACAATATCGCCAACTTTGTAAGTCTTTAAGTAGGTAGATAAAGCAATAGTACCGTGCTTTTTGAAGTCACGTTGGAAAGCGTAACGAGTACCAGATCTGTAACCGTGTCTATAGAAATAATGTTAGTATATATTTATCTTTGTTAAACTGGCAAATGGAATCTGAAGAGGTATTATCAAATGTACATTTGGAAAAGCCTTTGAACTTAGGTCTTTATTGGGATAGTAATTCTTTATATGAGTTTAGGCACACATGTAAACTTAACCAAGTAAACAAGCACATCCAAATCAATATGGTCGACATAATCTCTTTTCATATTCTTCTTTCTTTACCCTATTTTTCAGGTGAAGTCTTCTCTTTCTAAAACACATAAACTTCTTGAATAAATGTTACAACTTCGAAAGTACACTCTTCCTTCTTGCCCTTGCCATTCTCAAGCGTGTGTCACATACGATTTACCCATTTTTCAATATATTTGGTGATGTTAATAAACCTTCAAAAAAGACTAAAACAAGCAATAGCTAAAAATTAATGTATATTGGAAAACCTTGAGAGGGAAAAAAAATTCAATGATGAGAGGTTTCTGTGTAACTGTGAGAATTTTTTCCAATTTTTTTTTTTTTTTTTGTTAAAATTTTGGTTGTTTTTCTGCGATGTACGGTGAGGGCGCGAGCCCTAAGGCCAGATTGACGCACGTGATGTACTCTTTTTCATGCTGCAAAAACATCATTAGCTTTTTGATTAAAGTTGAATTATTTTTACATCTTGATTTCAACAAATAGATATATTAAACTAAACTACATAAAGAAATGAAAGATGAGTAGATTGGAAAAGGTAAACCAAAGGTTTATTAAAGTAGAAATACAAGAATTATGAAATGATTTAATTAATTATAAACTAACTAATTTATTCTTCTTCTTCAGCATCTTCACCACCTTCAGATTTTCTGGCTTGGTTTCTTCTCTTAACTCTACCAGCTCTACCACCACCGTATGGAGAGCTTTGAGCAAAGTCAATGTGTTTTTGAGAGTCTAATCTAACCATGAAAGATGGAATGTTGACAATTTGTTTACCAACAGCAATGTGTCTTTGGGTGATTAAGACTCTAGCGTGGTGGATAGATCTAGCTAAACCTAATTTGAAAACTTGGGTTTGTAATCTTCTTTCCAAGAAATCTTCGATTCTTAAAGCTAAAACATAATCTAATTTCAATTTATCTTCAGATAAGACACCAACTCTAACTAATCTTCTAATTAAAGCATTACCTTCGAATAATCTTTTTGGATCTTTTTCATCTCTGGTTAATAAATCACGAGCAGCTCTTCTAATTTTAGATAATTGGAAACCAATTCTGTAAATTTCTCTCTTGTTTTTTAAACCGTATTCACCAGCCAATTTCAATTCAGAATCTAAACGGGCTGATTCATATGGTTGTTTTGGAACAGAGTAAGTCTTAGAGTAAGTTCTTGGAGCACCTATAACATGTTAGAATGATATTCTCTAAAGAAAGTTGGGTCTACATTTGTACAAGTCTAGTTTCCCAATCAGGCCTGCATAATTCAACATAACACCAGGAGGTGAACGTCTCATCAATACAAGATGATTGTACTTTGTAACTGAAGTGTCGGGAGTTCAGTTACGAAGAATTTGAAACATAGTTTTTGTTTGAACAAATGAGGACCCGAACCTCCATGAACAAGAATGCATAAGCAGAGCTTGAATCATGTTGAAGCATAGAAATAGTAATAATAATACATACGAGGCATGTTGACTGTTTTAAGATTAGTTAAAGAAAAAAAGAATAGCAAAAAGTCTGTTAAAAAGTGAAAAATTCATCTTCATTTATACGTTCGCATTTTCTGAGAAGAGTGAAAAATTTTAATCGAAGCAAAAAAAATTTTTTTTTTTCAATTCCAAGGGTACTCAAACTTACGCGTGCTGAGGTGAAATGTGCGTACTTATCAGAATACGCTATTTGCAGTTTACAACTTGTACTGTAGTATAGATTTAGAATTGATTGGGATAAGGAAACAGAGGAGATCAATGAAGTTTGTTGCTTTGATATCGGGAGGAAAGGATTCCTTTTTCAATATCCACCATTGTTTGAGTCGAGGACATGAATTGGTAGCATTAGCCAATTTGTACCCAATAAATAAGGAAGATGAGATCGATTCACATATGTTCCAAACGGTTGGACACGATATTATTGATAACTATGGAGAATGTTTAGGAAAGCCATTGATTAGACGAGGAATTGTGGGGAAATCCAGTAATTTGAATTTAGAATATGAGATCACCCAAGATGATGAAATCGAAGATTTATATGAATTATTAAAAGAGATTAAGCAGCAGTATCCAGAAATTGAAGCAGTTAGTTGCGGAGCGATATTATCACAATATCAAAGAACTCGAGTTGAAAATGTTTGTGATAGATTGGGCTTAACTTCGTTGGCATACTTATGGCAAAGAAATCAGATGGAATTGATGCAAGAGATGTGTCAAAACAAATTAGATGCTAGGATGATTAAAGTTGCAGCAATTGGATTAAATGAAAATCATTTAGGACAATCAATTACTGAGATGTTACCAGTAATGATAAGGTTGAACCAGTTATACGATGTGCATATATGTGGAGAAGGAGGAGAGTTTGAAACGATTGTACTTGATTCACCGATATTCGTGAAGAAATTACGAGTTACGAGACAGGAGGTATTCAAGCAAGGCAATGATGAAGTAGCCTATTTAAAATATGAGGTTGAAGTGGTTGATAAAGGGATGGAATATGAGGATATAAGCATGCCACCATTGCTTGAAGAAGAGTTTGAATCGATGGTGGAAAGCGAGGGAGAGACCGAGCAAAGACCAGCAGAGGTGCAATTAGATGTGGTTAAGTCGAATGTTTATCGAACAAAAGATACACTTTACGTGTCCAATCTTGTATCGGAAAAGAAAGGTATTGAAGAACAGGCGACTGATATATTTCAACAATTACGAAACATACTTGAAGAGCACGGTATTGGAATGAATCAAATACAACATGTTAATTTATTACTTAGTAATATCGAAGAGTTCAACAAGATTAATTTAATCTACCAGAGGAATTTCAAAGAATATTTACCACCATCAAGAGTGTGTGTCCAAACGGTATTATATGGTGATCATGCCATACAATTATCGTGTATTGGGATTGTTAGAGGCGATAAGCTGGGGATACATATTAGAAGTCGATCATATTGGGCACCACAGAATATAGGACCATATTCGCAATCGATAGTTGTTAAAAGAGATAATTATGAGATTGCTAGTATCTCGGGCCAAATCCCATTGGTGCCATTTGATATGAGTGATTGTAAAGATGACCCAGTGGGAGCAGCATTGTCATTACAACATTTACATCGGGTTAAGAATTTAGTGAATGTGGACGAGTTGGGATACGTGATATGTTTTATAACAAGGGAATCATTAATGGGGAACGTCCAAAAGGCTATTGAAAGTTACAGTGACAATGAGATGATAAGAGCGGATAAATTTTTTGTTGTCAAGGTTGGAAAATTACCTAGGGATGCAAAAGTCGAATGGGGAGGGCTTAGTTACAAAGAGATTGAAAGTTACGAGGACAACGATGAAGAGGAAGCACCATTGATTAAGATACCCGAGTTCGAATCCGTTTATCACACGAAGATTAAACAGAATAACTTGGTTATAATTCATACCAATCAACTTAGCAAAGTGAATCAACTTAGCGGAGGCCATTCTACAGTAATCACAAGCAATAGTCAAGGAATAGAATTAAAGAATATGGAGATAATCCCCGTATTGAAAAATTGGAATCATCAAGGTAAAGAATATAAATACACAATTATATATAAGAATTAAAAGACATTAATCATTATCGATACCGGGACCTTTATAAATCAAATTTGCGGGGACATCAATACCCTTTTCTTTACATAACTGAATTAATTTGAGATTTTCTTCTTTTAAAGAGTCAATGTAGTCTGCCAGTTTAGTCAAGATATTTAGTTCACTTCGATTTTCCCGATCGTTAAGAGACGGAGTCAAATCGACTATTCTGTCAAACTCGCTTCTGATGTTCTCTCTTCTTTTCTGTTCCGAAGCAATGTGGTGCGCCTTCTTTTGGTCGTCACTGAGTATGGTTGTTTTCTTCTTATCATCAGTCATAACTTGAAAGTACTAAAGTACTACCGAAAGCATTAAAGTACTACCAAAAGTACTACTTATATTACTTATGAAGTATTAAACTCTAAAGTAGTGCAGGTGGAGCAATGGCATGTGAAAAAGGGAAATAAACACCCGTGCACCCAGAGACCAAAAAAGGACAAAAAAAAAAAAGGAAGAAAAAAAAAA